AACCCATTATATGCCACTTACATATTATATATTACCACTATCTACCACTATCATATTATATACATGCCACTATCTACCACCAACACCACTATCATATTCTATACATGCCACTATCTACCACCAACACCACTATCATATTATATGCATGAACACAATTTCCAGCAGAAAATTACTATATGGAAAACATGAAACTAGACACACAACACAAGATACCTAATTCTTGGCAAAGAAAGGAAATAAAGAAAGATGTTGTACATGGAGAAGGGACTTTTTCTGTGAAATAACAATGTGATAGAAGCAATAATGCATCCTTAGGAGATGCTGCAACTACTATCAATGTGAAACTAAAAAATCTTTAATTGTGGCTTACCTTTGATTAAGGGTAAAAATAGTCATTTGGGCAATGAGTTCCCCTTTTTCTATTTACTCTGTTATGCTTATAAGGATATTTGCCCTTAACAATGTAAGACTTGCACATGATCTAAAATTGTCTTGTCAATCTTTGTTTTCTTTTTCCTTTTGTTAGATGCTATATATATTTCTCCCTTTAGTTGTGCCCTTTCTTCATACACAATTAGGCCTCTCAATTGGGCCCAAATGAGCTTGGTCGAGGATTGCCTGAGCTCAGCCCGAATTGATTTTCATGAGCCCAAGCCCAGCTCAACCCGAAGAAAAATAGCAATCTCAGCCCATACTATGTCATGGGCTTTGGGCTGGGTTTGAGCTAGACTGTTTTTCCTCTACTTCCTCTTTAGACTTGATGGGCTATGCTGATTTTGATTGGACTGGTGAAGTTAATGATCGCAAGTCCACCTCTGGTTCCTGTATGTTTTTTGGTGATTCCTTGATCTTTTGGAAAAGCAAGAAACAAACTATAGTTGGTCGCTCTACTGCCGAAGCTGAGTACCGTGCTATGGCTCATGCTATTGCTAAGCTTGTTTGGCTTCGTTGTTTTCTCTCTGATTTTGGTGTACCTCAGTCTTCTCCGACCTCTCTCTATTGTGACAACCGCAGTGCTATTCATATTGCCCATAATACTGTCTTCCATGAATGGACGAAACACATTGAAAATGATTGTCACTTTGTCCGACAGCATCTGCAGTCTGGCTTCATCTCGCTTCCTTTCGTTTCTTCGGCTTTGCAACTTGCAGACTTCTTCACCAAACCTCACACTACCGCTTAGTTTCAGTTTCTTCTTAGCAAACTCTCAGTGTATTCTGCTAAAACACCTTGAGTTTGAGCGGGGGTGTGAGAATATATTGTATATATAGCATGATTGTGTAAAAAGGAATTAGTTTGTATTTCCTTTTTCAATCATAGATTTAGGACTATATAAACTGATGAATTCTTTGTAAATTGCTGCAATTCAATATACAGAAAAGCTTTCAGGATTCTTACAGTATTTTGTTGTCACTATTGACTGAATATCTTTATGGCCATTTCAGGTTGAAGGTTCTCAAGAAATGGCCTCCATGGCAGGTGCTGTCCCGGCTGTGGAACAAAGGGAGGAATATGATCCTTTGGCTACGCCAGATGTTGACAAGTAAAACTCCTCTCCTTCCTCCCTAGACTGACATATTTAGCTGCTATACTATTTGGTGCAGCTTATAGCTTCTATTTTTTATTTTTTGGAAATTTGTGCTAATGTGTTTGGTGCAATTCTCTTCCAATTTATGAGACAAAAAAATAGCTTAAATAAGCGGGGGACAAAAAAAAAAAAAAAAAAAAAAAAAACATCTATACATGCCACTATCCTTCACCAACACCACTATCATATTCTATACAGTGTGTTAGAGTGTCCAAACACCACTATCATATTCTATACATACCACTATCTACCACCAACACCACTATTATATTCTATACATGCCACTATCTACCACCAACACCACTATCATATTATATGCATGAACACAATTTCCAGCATTATTAATCTTAGCAATTTTTGGCTAGTGATTAAATTGGAATAGTTTTCAACTAACTTATACAATGAAACATTTATTAAATAGGTTTTAGATAAAGAAATTTTGTTACCCATAACTTATAATGCACTTATAAAAATAATTAAATACTGGTTCTCACAATTTCTATGTCAGACCTGACACTCTTTAACACATGGAGGTCAAATATGTTTGGTGGTTAGACACACAAGGAGCACGATTATAAGTTTGAATACACATGAAGCACATTATAAGTTTGAACATAATAACTTGGGATATGTAGGCATTGACAAGTGTGCTTAACGATCTCCATTGACCTACATGTAGGATCTTGCGTAATGTACCCAAACTGCAACTAACTGTAACCATGCCGTGTAGACATTACATGCCCACGTGACGCTGTCATGCAAGAGATGCCCTGATCCTTGATGTTGTCAAGATCTGCTGATCATCTTGATATGTTCAGGACAAAAGATCATTGACTAATCAAGACATCGAAACTAGGACATGCCCCTACTTTCCCTGCATAAGGATTTCTCTGCTAAACAATCCCATCAATACCCCCCAGATAGCTCCCTTCCAACTTGTAAGATCTCCAAGATCACCCTCTCTCTTCTAAGAGTGCTTCGACTCTCTCATCGTCCGATGATCCCGTTCCACTTAAGTGCTTACCATCTTCCTAGATCACATTGTTCTGGCCTCCCCCAACACGATTACAAACACTATAATACCTCTTGGAGGGGAAGCAGACTTGGCTTGGGCTACGTTGTTGTAAAAGGTTGTATCTGTGAAGCAAAAAGGAGGTGGACTTCAATCAATTCAGCCCTTCTTATGAAGTGGCTATGGAGATTTCCAAAGGAAAAGAAAAAGCCCCACATCCGAAGTACTAAAGTAATGTTAAGCATATAAGCGTGAGGGCAACCTCACCTCAAGAGCTAGTTTTGGGGGTTGAGTTCTACCTAAGACCATGTAACATCGTATCAAAACTGTAATGGGTTGGGTGCATGTCCCTGGCCTGCACGTCGCAAGTGCTGTTGAGTGAGCATGTTAGGCGTGAGGGAGAGTGTAGTTCTATCTAAGACCGTGCAATAGTATCTTCCATGCAATTTTTTTTTGGCTTGGAATGGTTTTTATGATCCACAAGTGCCTACCCAACCTTGTTATCCATTATCCCCTTCATGCATTGATGGTAGGTGGAGGGAATTTTTTTGGCTTGGAATGGTTTCTATGATCCATAGGTGGCAAATCACCTTGTTATCCCTTATCCCCTTCATGCATTGATGGTAGGTGGAGGGAATTGATGCATATTGATAGAGCCATGTTCGTCCTAAGAGTGCTTGGTAGGTGGTATCAACATCAATTTCATGGAACTTGGTGCTATCAAATCAATGTTTGGGAATTTTCAAAATTAATAGTTAAAGTTTTTTGGGTATTTTCAAAATCTTGTTTTCTTTGGAAAGCAAACTTGTCCCACATTGGAAAGAGAAGAAAAAAAAAACACTTAATAAAGTGGTTCATAGAATATTCCTTTGAATATAGAACTGTGGAATGAGTGCTAGGATGCATGCGGTTGGGTGCGATCAAGGGCATGACCCATTTGATCGAATGCGACTAAGGGACATGTCTCATCCGATCAAGTACATATGATCGGATGCGACCAAGGGACATGTCCCATATGATTAGGTGCATTTAGGCCTAATAATAGGCTATGAATTCAACCATTCCAACACATCCAAAACATTATAATTCGTTCTCTCTCTCTCGATCTCGATCTTGAACTTTCGATCAAGAGTTTTCTAAAAGCAAGTTTTTGGTTTCTTTATTTCTAATAATCATTTCTTGCATAGTTGACTATCAGTTGTCTTGGTTCTCTTGATCATCTTGATCATATCAAGAGTATTCTAGTCTACTGTCGCCTATGAAGCATGTGTACTCCAAAAATGGTGCCGTACGAGTACCGGGTACTTACCGGGTGCGGGTATGCGTACTGGGTAGGCCGAATACATGCTGGGTACAGCAGATATGTTTGGGTATATCGTGGGTATGACTTGGATACGTTTTATATCGTGGGTATGACTTGGATACGTTTTGGGTACGACAGGGTGATTTTTTATTTATTTATTTATTTATATTTTCTGCAACTGCTAGAATTTGTTGCAGCATTTGTTGCAGCCTTTATTATTCTTCTTTCAACTTTGAAAATCATCAAGTAATTTGTTTCCAACACCCTTTACCCATGAGTTATAGTTTTGCTCTCTTTTGCATTGTTTTAGATAATCAAAAAAGAAAAAGTGCATCTTGTTTTAGATAATCAAAAAAAAGAAAGAAAGAATTATATAACTTTTAAGACAAGTTGTTCTCCTTTTAGTTTTGATATTGAAACTTTGATTTGTATGTTGGATGTTTAGCTATAAATTTAAAAAAAGAAAATTTGACGTACCCCAGCCGTATATCATACCCTACTTTTTAAAGAATTTTCCGTATCGGTGTACCTATATTTCCGTACCCACACCCGTGCTTCCTACACTGTCACATGTTCAGCTATTGGTAGATTAATTGTTAAAACCTATCACCTACTTCACCCACTTAAACCTACTCCACTGAACCTAACCCACTACACCACTACCACCTCACCTACTCCACTAAACCTAACCCACTACACCACTACCACCTCCACTTCACCTACTCGAACCGTCGGTTTTTGATAAGAAAAATGGCAAATTCTAATGACATTTTTATCAATCCGCCACCCGCCATATGGTTTTTATTTTTCTCCTAAACCGCACCGACCCGCACCGCGCACACCCCTAATTATATCAATCAATAATACAATCAATATCTATACAATTCTCTATTTCTCTTTATACATTAAAATTTCTACATGGTATCAGAGCAAGGTTGAGCCTAGCATTTTTGCTTCACCGGCGGGCGGTAGCCTTGCCTTGGCCGCCCGCCGGACCTCTCATCTCTCAACTGTTTCTGCATCACTTCCACTACGCCGCGAAGCACCGGATTCAGCTCCTGGATTCGGTTCAGGTAGAAGTCAACGAGCTGTCTTGATGTGAGCTTCTTGCCGTTTACTTGCTGGAATTGGAATTGGCATCTCATCTGCTATTGTGCCACTTTACATATCTGAGATCTCACCAACTGAAATTCGTGGCACACTTGGATCTGTCAACCAACTGTTTATCTGTATTGGGATTCTTGCAGCATTGGTGGCTGGGTTGCCCTTAGCAGGAAACCCTTTATGGTGGAGGTCAAGGTTTGGTATTGCAATGATACCCTCTGTTCTATTGGCATTGGGAATGGCATTTTCTCCAGAAAACCCTCGGTGGCTTTATCAGCAAGGAAAAATTTCTCAAGCTGAAATGTCTATAAAAACTCTATTTGGAAAAGAAAAAGTTGTTGAGGTTATGAATGACTTAAGTGCAGCTAGTCAAGGTTCTTCAGAACCAGAAGCTGGTTGGTTTGATCTTTTTAGTAGCCGCTATTGGAAAGTTGTCAGTGTTGGTGCAGCACTTTTCTTGTTTCAACAGTTGACTGGAATAAATGCTGTTGTATATTATTCTACGTCTGTATTTCGCAGTGTTGGAATCGCATCTGATGTTGCAGCCAGTGCTCTCGTTGGGGCATCAAATGTTTTTGGTACAACAATAGCATCCTCTTTGATGGACAAACAAGGAAGAGTCTTTTAATGACAAGCTTTGCTGGAATGGCAGCTTCAATGCTATTGCTTTCCTTGTCACTCACTTGGTCGGTCAGTGTGTGAGAAGTAAAAACAGAGAGCAATGAGTCAAGCCTGAAGAAGTGTCAGACAGTAACCTGCACAGTTTCTATTTCAGCACAGAAAGCAAAGTCTCTCTCTCTTCCTTTTAATTAAGTGTTTAAACACCCTACACACCACCTCCACCCACATGGGTTGGTTCCCACTTTTCATCATCAATATGTTCACACTCTCCTCCATTTGATTCCAAAATCCATTATTTTTATTTATTTTCTCCAAACCACTTTCCTTATTTCCCCCATCTTTCATTTTGATTTCAAATATATTTTTATTATTTCTTTCTTTATTTTTCTTTCACATTATTTTTAATCGTTTTCAAATTCCATTCATACCATATAGCTTTGCACACCAAACCATCTTTTATTCATCTCAGGGATCAACCCCGATCACAATTTTAACAAAAAAAAAAAACAAAACAAAACAAAGAAAAAAGGCTCAGCTAAATTTAGTTAATTTCTGAATTCAAAATTTAATATATCAGTGATTAAGGATAATCAAATGCACGATGAGGTTTAAGATTTGTTTTCTTTTCTGCAGACGGCCACCCACCGACCTCACTTTTTCGCCTATTCCGCCGGTCTTTTCTTCTTGCCTCCGTCCTGGGCGGCCCTTGACGGTGTTGCCTCCGTGTTTCCCACTCCACTGGGCACGATCACTCCACCCTGATCCTCCACTACAGCATATGGCGGACCTCCAAATCGGAACATCACGGTGGCCTTCCGCTTCAGCTCCTTATTTTCCGCCTTTAGCACACTTATCTCTGCTCGCGCATCCTTATACATGCGCTGGAGCAGAGCCAGTTGGGCGTTTAACTGCTGCACCTCATTTGTCCTACTCTGCAGCCGGTGCGACAAATTTGTAACCGCAGTCATGGTTTCCACACATGACTTCAAGAATTATATACCTATAAACGTTGATCGGATATCATTAACTACATGATCAAATTAGTTTTGTATAAAAAATAGATAGTGTTATAGTTAACAGTTGACAAAAATAAACTAACATGATCAGATAGCTATCGATATCCAATCAGCGTGATTTTTTACAAACATATAGTACTCGGCGAGTTCTACATATTAAAAAGTTCTGATTAGCAAAACGAGACATGTGGTGGGCCCCACGAGCCGAACAACATCGTCCAATTCAAGTCCGAAAAGGAGACAATCATTTCCCATCTTCTAACCAACCCAATACCCTGCCCAACCTATACGCCTACTCTACTAACTTCTACTACAAATTTATTTATACAACTTTTTAATATATATTTTTTCGTAAAAAGTCAAAAAATTAACTCAAATATTTATATTTTTTTCTCAATTTTTTAATCTAAAGAGAGAAAAAATACGTTTAGGGCAACCAAACAACCCCATAGTTTATTTCGATTTTACAATTAACAAAATCAAAAAATTCAATTGGATATTGAACTATTTAAAACCAGATGAACCAAACCACTTTATAACATTTTTGGAAAAAAAAAGTAGGTAAAAAATATTCTTGGGATGTTATTGCAACTAAACAATTGCAGCCCACGTGCAACTTGTACGTAAACTGTAAAAAAAGCAGAGTCGTTGACTCGCTGTCATAGCCAGCCGGGTAGTTAGAACAACTTTTGAAATAATTAAATAAAATTGAAAAGCCATTTCACAAAATCCAATTTTTATTTTTTATTTTTATTTTTATTTTGGAATGTTTTGCGGGGGGCTGTTAGAATTTACCACCTCACCTACTCCTCTTACCTAACCCACCTCCACTATCACACACTCCACACCTTCCACCTCCACTATCACACACTCCACTACCGTCCACCTCCACTATCACACACTCCACTACCATCTTCTCCTCTATATATAGGAATTGTAATATACAGATATCAATCAATCAATTGTAATAAATCAATCAATCAATAATACATTTATTTTTACATGGTATCAGAGCTATAAGATTTAGGCCTATACTTTTTTTTTCCGGCGGGTAGCCGGCCGGCAACCTTGCCTTCGCTGCCCGCTGGAGTTTTTCTACACATACCTTGAAATTTCCCTTCTTCAACCTGCTATGCATACACTCCAGTATTCAAAGTTCTGGAATGTTAATAGCAATTCTCAGTCCATGTCAAAGAAGCAGCAGAAGCAGATCAAGCTCTCCAGTACAACCGGCATGCTCATGTTCTATGCTCCTGACTTCCTCGCCGGAGCAGCTTCCTTCTTCCTCTTCCCAGATGGCGGACTCAGGTTTCTTCTACTCAAATTGGCTCTAACCATCCCAAGTAGTTCAACTCCTCAAGTCGCAAGGCCTGAACCAGGTCAACCTCTACGACTCCGACCCGGAGGTCCTCACAGCCCTCTCCGGTTCAGGCATTTCCGTCACCGTCGCTCTTTCCCCAACGAGCTCCTCTCCTCTGCCTCCTCCAGCGGGAACACCTCCATCGCCGTTTCATCATCATCAGCAGCGCCTTCCAGCCCTCATCGAGGGTGCTCGAGAAAACTGGATTACTACTTGTTTCAACGCCTTCAAGCCTTCCAGCCCTCCATGCCTTGGCTATCCTTGTCTCAACTTTCCATTATTTCAAGAACCCATCAGCAATTAATCAGGAATCTTTTGCTCAGTACACGGCCTGCACAGCCTTCGAGTGGCCACTACTAAGTGGGGTAGCTTATGCACAGCGTGTGCTTCATTCAGAGAGAGATTGAATAACACTTTTTCTTTTATTTATTTTATTTTATTCATTCAGTCTGTTCCCCACCTTTATTCTTTTTTCTTCATCATTTCATCACCATCCCTTTTTTTTTTCTTTATTTATTTTATTTTATTTTTCGATTCCCTTCTTTTCATAAAAAAAAAAAAGGACCTGGAGCCATAATCCAGCGCACTTTCTTTTATTTTGCTATATATATATGTTTGTTATAATATATTATTTTGACACATAATTTTTCCATTCAAAAAAAAAAAAAAAAAAAAAAAAAAAAAAAAAAAAAAAAAAAAAAAAAAAAAAAAAAAAAAAAA